CGTAGCTCATCATCCATTTCGGATGAGATCAAGCGATTTCTTCATGAAAAAGGCATTGCTACTGGTCGGATCACTCCATATAACCCAAGGGGAAACGGTCAGGTGGAACGACTAAATGGAACTTTGTGGAAAGCTATTAAGCTTTCATTACGATCAAAAGGTTTTCAAACCATTCATTGGGAAACCGTTTTGCAAGACATCCTCCATTCGATTCGTTCTTTGTCGTGCACCATCACCAATGCCTCTCCACATGAGCGAATGTTTTACCACAATCGAAAATCCTCAGTCGGTATATTGTTGCCTCAAAGGTTGCTTTCGCCAGGACCAGTTCTGATGCGGCGAAATACACGATCTTCGAAGCATGTGTCAGACACCCTAACGGCGTGGGAGAAACGAGCTTCCTATGCCACCTGGCGCCTTCCGCAGATTTTGGATTCGCTCTAGCATCCGAACAACAGCAACCTCTGCCCAACACTGATTCATTTTTCTGACTCTGCTTCGGAAACTGAAATGTCGAATTCCTCTGAACACCGGTTGGTTGTACAACAATAGCGGACATGACCGTATGTCTTGCGCAACAGAGAGGCCTGACATTATTCAATTATATAGCGAATTCCTGTGAGCATTTACCTTTGCGAGGACTGAGTGCTGTATATTTGCTCTGCTTTTCAAACGTCTCATAGTTCATTGCTAAATCACTTTTTTTGTTTCAGCTCTCAGTGTCAAAGGTTTGGGAGGTTGGTTCTCTATGTTACGGCTTTTCTTATGTGGGAAACTTGGGTCTCTCCGCGTCTTTTAAAAGGTTCTGGATAACTTCGGTCCGTGTACCTCCTTACTTTTCGGGAGAGATATTGTTTATTTCTTCAACTGACGGGCGATTCAAGCTTGCTTTCCTTACGGTCACCTGCACTGTCGCAGTGGCCATTTAAACCACTCTTCGAAGTTTTCGGTGCATCTTTGCTACCGGAAGTTTTGCGAAAAGCTTACTTAGCCAAATTTTTCATTTGGCGTTTAACCGTCAGTTATTTTGGCAATCATCGTGTTGTTTCGTTTGTAGCACGGTGTTTCTCGTGTCAATGTGCACCATCTCCCGAGCTTTTATCATCCACGCGAATGGTTCGGCTCCCTTAGAATTTTCAGCGTTTGGTGTTTGAGGGAGTTGCGTCCGCCATTGTACTCGTGTGGCTGACGTGCTTGCGAAGGCCTGAAAGAAATAGATTTGTCTTGCATGCCTGCACTACGGCGTGATCAGGATTAAATTATGTAGCAACTACGGAACTGCAGTCTTGGATTGTGACTCTCCACCGGTAGCTAATACCCATGGGATTCATTTGCAGTCACCCGGAAAGTTAGGCCAAAACATGCTACTGCGGAAGCCTTTTTACACTTTCATGGATTCCTTCTTCTGCTCTACCCCACCTCAATTTGAATACTGTTTCTACAGGTCCCATCACTAGGATTGACCTTCTTGTTCGGCTTATACCACGATCGACTGCATCTTTTCGTGCGTCCCACTGCCGTAAGAACCTTAAGCACTCCGTAGTTTTCTTCCGAACACCGAAACCCGGTTTACTTGACTGTCTTAAATTTTTGCACAATTAAGGAAGCAGGACAACAAACGGCTCTTGCTCGTTCGCTGGATTCCCTATGTATCGATATATGCTCTGTCGGAAACAGCGATACAGGATGCAGGTGCTGTAGTTTATCTGACTGCCCCATCGCCTTCTAGGATCCGGGTGCGCCCGGTGATGCAGAAGCCGCTGCTGGAGTTGGTATTGTAGTAAGCGACCGAGCGGAAGTGTTTCCATCTGATTGGATACCTGTTGACTGTCACATCTACGCAGTTCGTTTGTCAACCTTTGTGAAAGAATCTCGCGAAAGTGAGGTCCATCACACCGTGTTTATTTTATCTACTTACACCCCAACTGACTGTAGCCCTGAATCTGCCCAAGACAGTTTCTGTGACACTCTAGGTGCCCTTTTTCTCAGACATCGTTGTGGTTGCTGGTCACAGGAATGGTCAGGTATGTAGGCTAAAGCTTCTGAAGCCCGACTGGATGGTCGTTTTGAACTGGATAAGAGACGCACGGACAACGGAGAGTACCTGCATCAGATGTGTGCCAATCACAGACTGTTCCTTTGCAGTACTGATAATCTAGAGAAAGCGAGGTCCATCGCACCGTTTGTTTTGCCTGCTTACGCCCCAACTGACTTTGGCTCTGAATCTTCCAAAGACAGTCTCTATGGCGCTCTAGATGCTTTTTTACAACGGAGTAAAGCTGACGTCGTTGTGGTCGCTGGGGACAGGTAGGTAGACTGAGCACTTCCGAGGCCCATTCGGGTGGTGTTCTCACATTGGACACGACGTACTCGGATAATGGAAATCGCCCCGTTTACATGGCTCCCGATCACAAACCGTTACTTTTCAATATCAATTTCCGGAACAGCGGAAGTCGCTTGACAACGTGGAGCCAATCAAAGAACCAGCCCCGAATCCAAATAGACCATATGGCCATTACTTACCGATGGCAAGAGTCGAACACTGCCTGCTGTTCATTCTGGCATACTAGCGTGGGCTCGAACCGTTTACTTGTGAGTTTCTGCTATTCACTGGGCTCTTTAGGTCTGCTCAAAAAGCACACACCCCGATTAGCCATTGAGGAGCCAGTGGACCCAAAAATCAAACGAACCTATCTCAACCGACTCCTCGAATGCCTACCCAACGGTCCAGTATCGGTTATTAACGGCCACTGGGAACAAATATCCAAAGCGCTAATCAACACCGGAACTTCTGTGTCGTATAACCCAGCCAACCTCATCCAAACATTGGATCATTTATAGTACCGTGGCTTCGCTGGAGGCCCAGTGACAGATTCCTCCTGACCTGAACCATAGTCAGCCCGACGCATCATCCGACGCCGGGTGAAACTGAGTGTCCGTGCAAACCGAGAAACTTGATGGACCCCAAAGGCCGAAGAAAGGGGAGATGCAAAAATTACTGTTCCACTTGATACTTTCGACTGGTCCTCTGAAGCATACTGTCAGCGATGTTATTAGGGACTAAAATGGCTCCGTGAAATCCACCAGAGCAGATGGTTTGGCCTGGTGGGTGCAGTGCCTCGAACAGCAATTGAGTTGGCTACCCACTACCTCAAATCCGTAATCCTGACCTTCAACAGAAAGGTGGACCATGAATGTGGGGCCCCGTTCAACCTCAGAGGTGTTTTAGTGCATACCTCCACTCATCGTACTGCCGGTCCTGATTACCTTCCATCTGCTCTGTTCAAGGATGGCGGTGGATTCCGCAGCCAGTGCCCGTCTAGGCTATTTGGGTCTATGTGAAAGAGGCTGTCCCTGACAACTGAGGTGAATCGATAGTGGTGCCCATTTTCGCAAAGGATACTCGAAGTAAATGTGGTAGCCACAGAGGTGTTGCTTTGACTCCTGTTACAAAAAGGCTTCTGGAATTACTGACCCTTCGTCGTCTTACGGCGGTACGCAAATCCTTGACGTGTGAGCATCAAGAGGGATTTTGACCGAGTAGAGGCTGCGTTGACTACGTCTTCACACTCCGTCAGGTGTTAGAGCAACGTCATACTTGCAGACGACCCATAATGTGGGTGTTCCTTGGCTTGAAGGGTGCGTTCTACTCTGTGGATCGTTCAGTGCTATTTATTACATCTGCTCAACAGGGCACCAGAAGTTTATTACTGACCCTTCGTCGTCTTACGGCGGTACGCAAATCCTTGACGTGTGAGCATCAAGAGGGATTTTGACCGAGTAGAGGCTGCGTTGACTACGTCTTCACACTCCGTCAGGTGTTAGAGCAACGTCATACTTGCAGACGACCCATAATGTGGGTGTTCCTTGGCTTGAAGGGTGCGTTCTACTCTGTGGATCGTTCAGTGCTATTTATTACATCTGCTCAACAGGGCATGCCCCAGAAGTTTGTGAAACTAATCCGGTGCATATATTCACATCCTTGGTGTGAGAGTGTATGGTGGGCTTTATAACAAAGCGGTGTCCGATAGGGATGCCCACTCTGTTCATTCTTTTTCGACTGCGTGGTTGATGAAATAATGAGGCGGACGGTGGGGCTTCCAAAGGTCCGGTGTTCAAATCGTTGCTGGTGAGAAAATTGTCGATCTGGAGTACGCTCATGACATAGTCCTCGTCCCTGAAAACCAAGGCGAAGCATACGCTCTGAGAGGGATCCGTGAGCACTTTTGTGCATTACATCTACGAACTATCAGTGTCTGTATTCAGTATCATCTGATTACCTTGACCAACCTATCTGATAAGCTGCCAGGCACGATGTAGATATGGGGAAAAACGTTAGTTCTTGTCGGTCTTTTCCTTGTGACCACCAGGGCTTTCGGTTGTTCCTCCCTGGACCTTGGAAATAAGGCGCTTCGCTTTGCGTTTCAACTGCTCATCGAAACTGACGATTTTGGTCTAGATAACCTGTATGGTGAATGTCAAATTGTTTCCAGCTCCAGCGTTCAATTATGGCGTTTATTGGCTCCGCGTGTTTTTAATCTACGCTCCATGATGGGAGAAAATCAGTGGTGAAATTTCATTGTTTTGAAATACCAAATCATTATCACTCGTCGTTTGGAATGATCTGACATCTATGCGGAAGCTATTGTTTGTTCTGTTGGTTTTGGCGTCATTGTGTGGGCCATCGATATGCGCATTGCACCTCACAGCGTCACACCCATCATTCCGCTTATCTACAGAGAATGAGGTAATTTTCATTGAAAGTATGGACCCAGTGCAACTTCTTTTCAAGGTTCCTTTTGATGATCACCTTCTTGTGCATACTTTAAATGGAGAAATTCTTCTCGTTCATCGTTCTACTGGTTTAATTAATTGGACACGAGATTTGGGTAAGAATTGTGTCGGCTTCCATTCTAATTTTTTCTAATACAGATCCGGCCCTGCAAGTAACATATAACCTAGGGTAAGTCGGTTACTATCAGTCTGAGGATTTGTGCAGACCCATCTTAATTGTGGATCCAATCGAAGCTCGTGTGTATGAATACTCCAGTGATGCGTCAGATGATTTGCTTACTCATCTGGATCACTCTCTCATGGGTTACGTCCGTCGTTCACCAACATACTATAAGGATTTTCGTACTTTTGGTAAGTTATGTCTGCATAGCACAGATGGAATCCTTCTGACTCTACGCGCAATATATAGCGTAATTCTAAGTGATTTTTCTCATTCATTCACCTCCGAAATGTGATTGTTCGGTTTTTGTAATAATCACATCAAAGGAGAAACCAATTGCACTTGGAACGTTCTTCGTGCTTTGTTTTTTATAAGCATTCTGATGTACACCGTTCTGAACACAGGCAATCCGTATGCGAACTGGTAGCTTATAAGTCCATAAAGGATCCATATTTCCTCAGTCTCTTCCCTTAGATAGCTTGCCTTTTGGTTGGTCCCAGGCGTATTTATGAAGCAGCACTGCGTTTGTTGTGTGACCGGAATAAGTGAAATCATTGCATCACATACGTTACACCCCCTTCCATAAAACAAATGTGCTCAAAACGCCGAATATGAGTATGGGTTATTTGGGTGACTCGTATTGAGTTGTCGATACAAAGCCCTCTCCCTTGAGAGTGAAGGTTGAAAATCGTTCATGTTTTGAAATGTCGCATGACTAGGTTAGTTTAGGTTCTTATCCCTGTCTATCTAAACTTCACTACTTATCTAGTTGTATAATAATTTGACTACAATGGACCTGCCGTAACCCTACAAGCAATATCCTAACTGGGTGATAGTAAACCCTGCCGTAACCCTTACCGTCTTCTACAAGCAATATCCTAACTGGGTGATAGTAAACAGATTTATGTGGGGCATTTAATTTTTCTACATTACCTCTTGCTTAAGTGCGTAAAGTTGCAGCTAGTTGAAGTTCCTATGGACCGGTATTGTTAAGTACGTTAGCTTACGTTGACGCTGTGTTGCATTTTCGGCAGTGGATATTGACTTTCTCTTTGATCGGACGCTTCAAACAAGATCATGTAGGGATTTTGACGATTGGTTTGATATCCCATGCCTAATACAGTTACTGCTCAAATGTATGGAATGGCACTACTAATCAACAAAGCAACCGGCTGTCCATTTATATATATATATATATATATATATATATATATATATATATATATATATATATATATATATATATATATATATATATATATATATATATATATATATATATATATATATATATATATATATATATATATATATATATATATATATATATATATATATATATATATATATATATATATATATATATATATATATATATATATATATATATATATATATATATATATATATATATATATATATATATATATATATATATATATATATATATATATATATATATATATAGCGTATTCGTACCTGTTCTGCGTATGTCTTCTAGCCAATCTTGTTCGAATAGGAAAAGAGTTTATGCATTGTTTGTCCTTCCGGGTATCCTAGCACACTAAATATGGGTCACCCATGTGCGTAAACGAACGTTTCATAAAGTCTGTAAATTATGTCCAAGAGTTTGGTTTTAGTACAGCCATCACTCAAATCCATTTGACCTATTCGGGTGATTAGCTATGCGAACTGATTCCGTTCAATAGTTTTACGACAGTCCTAAACCTCGTGTCTCAATCACGTCTCGATAATGACATTTCTTGTTATCTCCTGCCTACTTGTTCCTTTTTTAACGGGTAATTATTTGTGTTCTGTGTTGCATGGTTAATTAACTGCGTGTTCTGTGATTTTTCTATGCTCATTGAAGGTTCGAAAAATGACTTCTGGGTCTCGCTGGATCTACGAACAGGGGCTTTAATTCAAGCGGCTGATCAAACTTCCGTGGATCAATGCCCGGGTCAGATTTATCCCTCTGCTGGGATATCCGAAACTTCCCCATTGCCATCAACAGACGCCGTGCTTGGCCTAGGAAGGACTCAGTATAATCTGTTGTTCCGCGACCCTGCAACAGGAACACCCAGGCGAGTTCGATTGTCATGTGTTACATATACTTAAAACAACGGTTCCCACTGATTAAAACAAACATCACCATTAAAATACACATTGTTCGTCCAACAAAACCCTCTATTCTCTCCAGGTTGTCAGCCACCATAATAAGTCAGCACTCTATGGGGTATTGGCTGTAGACATTCGATGTCTGACCAAATGCGCTGGCTTTCGGTTTGGCTTCTCCTTGGTGGGGTTGTACCGAAAGTATTTCGGACCGACCCCATTGCACCTTCCAAAGATCACTTCCCCGAGTTCTTTGTCCCTGTATTACGGACCTTTTGTTCCCCCATTTATCGTCTTTCCACACCTAAAACCGATCTTGGTGGGTATTGACCTTCGCCCTTAGTCCGTCCCAGTCCAAAATACCTATTTCTGACACCTTAGCTGGTTCCGTGATATTTGAGTGTTCTGTGCATGCTCCGTACATGCCTTCTCCATGTATTTCATATGACAGCAGACTGTTTGGAATTCAGTTATTCAGGAAATTCAGGTAAACCCTAGTAATCCGTTAACAGAAGACGAAAGTCCCAACACGTGACGTAACTGGCATTGTCATTTGGTTTGTTACATACCAGTTGCTTCTCAGGTGTTATGTACGCGAACCATGTAGGCTTGACGCGTAACGACAAGCATTTTGACAATCCTCAACTGACGACAAATGCATAGGAATTTGGTGCCATTTATAAACTACGAAAAACCGGCTGAATTCGAGGCCCAGTTAAGAGTAGATATATACATGTCTTGAATAACCCAATATTATGTTGATTGGACGAATGTTGAGCGAACCGGTCAGAAGAGGAGTCAGTCAGTTGTAAGTTGTCGCTGATTTGTAGAATTTGAATTCGCTCCACCTAGGACTGGACAGTCATGTTACAATCCTGATGCAGTTATCCGGGGGGGGGGGGATTTTGACCTTATTGGAGCTCACCACCAGGCTTTATCGATACTTGATCTCCGGAAATATATCAAGCGAGGCAAGCGTTATCACCACTCCACCAACGCAGGCAGGATGTACCTGAATTATCTTGTCTTAGCAGGTAAACCTATTTGCGCTTAAGCGATGTGATTGGTTTGTCCAACGCCTCGAGCGGCAACCTGGCGACTTTTCTGGCCGTTTTGATTCACTCAACCCACTATCAGGACTTCTGAATGGGATTGAGTCACGAACATATGAAACCTGTCGAACAGTTTTATTCACTTTTAGGTAGTTTCCAGGTTTTCAGAATTTGCATTCACATCACTCCTGTCCTGGCATTCGTCCATACGTGATGATTGAGGTTCATGATCGGTGGGTGGCTAGTGCATTTCAAATACCGACGCGGATAGCATATGTTGATGAGCTCTATTAAGGACAAAGCTCCAACCTGCTATTATCCTTTGTGTGCACTAACCAGAACAGAATTGTTCGAACGAGAGTGATGTGAATGCAAAGACGTCAATCAGAACTGTGCCTGTTGCTTCTCACCCGGACGTGAGGGTTTTAGCGTGATCTCGTGGCTGCACAGAGTTGTAGTATTTTAGCTATCCCTGATCGAAGGTTGTCCTTCTAGCCGCCTTGCCTTTTAATATACCATAGCAGAGGAACGACAAGCCAAGGATCAGTACAGGAGTTGAAAAATGGCAACAACCTCAATCCATGCTGTATTTTTCAGCAGAGCAACCCCAAACAAATCTACAGTCGCAATAGATGCAGTTTGAAGAGGTACAAATGAAGCCTATTAAAACTCTATATAACATGCCGATGAATATGACAAAACCAGGTGGGCCTCCATCTTCTTATACAGGTGCTACTGGCAGCTTGGTTACTGATTTGGATTTCTTCGCTAAGTATGGGAAATCTTCCGAAAGTTGATTCAAGAGTAATGGGAACATGTTCCTTATCAACTTTGCTCAAAGTAATGAACCAAGAAAATCCTGACTGTTGCTTCGGAGACTGGTGATTGCAGAGTGTGTAGTGTCGGCAAATCCTCAATCTTCTTGTGGTCTCGGATGATATCAAGATCCTTGTCTAAATACTCAGTGAGTAGATTTGGCTGTTTATTATTTGCTATAAATGCTTCAAGATCACCATAAAGGATACTGAAGATTTTATCACGCATGCGGGTAAGCGCCTCCAGCTTAGAACATGCACCGAAGGTTAGCTCAAGTGTTTCAGGACTTATTTAGATCCCTTCATGTGACTGATCACATGACTCAATCAAGCCTTGAAACCAGTGACATCTCACACTGACTTTGGCCTTATTTCAAGCTCACTCAAGATTTAACCAGTAGTCTCTGTGCTTCCATCTTGCTTACATTTCTTTCCCTCCCCATGCAGATTGAACATTACGTACAATACATTTGCGTCACACGCAGATACCGAGTCGCAGAACTTCGGTGAGTACGACCCCTTTTAGTTACTTTTCACTGTCTAGGAAAGCAAAGTTTGAAGCATTTAGTAGCTAATCTCAGACGACGTTGCTGCCAAATCAGCCTTTTATGTTATTTTGTTGCCGAAGTTTATGGGCCTGTTCACCTTGAAGTGAGGTTGCGATAACTTGAGAGAATACCCCACTCAACAGATATATTATGGTACTTTTTGAACTGGCTTATTATGCAGTTGATCCAGTCCAACTTGAGGATTCGGATAATTTCTGCTAGCAGCAATCTCCTTTAGGTTTACATGGAAGAAGATCCCTAATAATGACTTGGTCACTCGCTTGATTGTTGAGCTTTCTGTCATCCTGATGGAATTCTGTTTCGAAAACATTGCTGTGGAAACATTAGTGCACACGCCTACACAGGGAAATACTTAGCAGCTTATAAGCGACGGTCGCCAGCCGGTTGCGCTGATGATTCGTCGACTCAGTGTTGCCTGTTCAGCTATCTTGTAAGTAATAAAGCCTCTTCCATTGGACTTAAGGTGTGGTTCGCGTCATTCCGAAGGTCTAGTTTATATGGGAACCTGGCAACGTCAGGAGGCTCCCCATGAGCAACATCTGTGCTGTTAGGTGCACACATGGATATTGAACTGTTCATCGCCTTACGTTGAAGATTTTTCGGTGGAGTTCTACACGGTTAGAAATTCGTTGTTGGCGCTGTAAAGGATATTAGAGGAATGCATAAATAGTTCTCCTATCTACACCACTACGCGGACTACTCAAGCAGTCCAAACACCGATGTTAAAACCACTTTCCCGTATCTCAAATCGTGTTATTTTGGCTTCCGACGCGATGCTTGCCCCAGTGTTACAATGACAGTGTTGTGCAGTTGACATGGGGTTGTACGGTAACAAACTCGATGTTCATTTGGTTAGTTAACTAGCTCAACACTGTTCCGTTTGAGTGTTACTCGAACTACATCTGATCGTGTCAATTTCCTATTTTTTTCTACCTTCGTAGACATTCAACATCTGGCCACCACTCAGCCTAGCCTCTTAACCTTTGAAGGCCGAAAAAGTACGTTTTAATTTCATGTTCATAGTGTGACCTTTACCCGGATGTTTATATTTTTTCAGTGATTTGCCCAGATCTTTTCGCTACCTGTTTACTCTAACCTTTCAGTACTCTGGAGTTTGCCACTGTCCTCGCCGGTAGTTGGCCTTTACACTGTCCGGACACCCACGACGAGTGTTCAGAAATGCAGATCTATTCGTCGAGTTCAAACTCCGAAACCCGACGAGAACACAGGATCCACTTATGTCAATGATTCTTCATCAGCGAATACTGACTCGACACATTCAACATCACAGTTTCATCCATTGCGGCCCTCAGGCGGAAACAGTGAGGGTTCCGAAAACCAGGCTTTCGCGGATTGCGATTCATCAGAGCCTGACTTATCCCCTCTGGCAACACCGCATATCCTCAAGCGGATTGCCTTTACTACCTACGTTCTTGATGTTCCACCTGGTTTTCTCATGCACTCGGAACTTCTGCAGAGTTACCTACAGGCAAAGTTCAACGGCAGTTTGGACCTTGCGTGAGTTATGTCGCACCGCTGTTCTACTTTTTAGTTTGAGTTTGTGGAAGACCGCAGTTTTTCGGTCTGTCGTGATTTTGTCTGAGTAACAAACCCACCTCACCATGTATGTTAGGTGTTTATCCCTTCTTCCTACCTATCTGAGCGCCGTGTTGATTAGGGTCAATAAATGGCTTTGACCTAGCTATCGTATCGCGTAACTGTGACTAAGCTGTTGTTCGGAGAGTAACTTGGCATACTTAATCAACTTCAGACTTGTTGGTCAGTTAAAAGCCTTGTCCCGTCGGTTTAAATACAGCGCCTCTATTGTCATTCTGCTTAACTAATTAGTGCATTCCATGATAGTGTTACTCAGCTTCAAATCTTTTCTCGAAGAAGAAATGGCCTAACATGGGAGAGACTCGTGTAGGCTCTGATATCTGCCCGAACTCTGACATGCTTGAATACATACCGAATTTCGTCACGATCAGCAGCTCCCGTTGTTAGATGGAAAACCACATTCGCAAAAGCAGACTATTGTGACACACTGGAAATATGTCCAAATATTAGTAGCTTGGCTGAGTTTATTAGTCGCTGATCCATTAGGTGGCAGCTAATATGGCACACGCAAATCACTCAAATGCGTGACAGTAAAGAGTCTATGATGTCACAGAGCGCTGATGGATAGCGGCTAGAGCTTCTGATCGTGATGAAATTCGGCATCTATTCAGTCATGTCAGAGTTCGGGCAGACAGAAGAGCCGAGAAGAGTTTTTTCGAGGAATGATTTAGAGCTAAGTAACACTATCATGGAATGCGCTCGTCGATTATCAGAATGACATTAAAGGCACGACATTAAAACCGGCGGAGCAAGAAGCTCATCTGACCAGCAAGTCTGAGGTTGATGAGGTGTACCAAGGGTTTTTTTCAACCGGTAACTGACACCTTGCTTAAATGTGCCGATTAGATCAACTGGACTTGTGAAATCCGGTACAAGCGAAACTATCTGCGTAGCTTGGGTCGATGGTTCACTAACAGAAGTGCCATTTTTAGCAAATATTTCGAGTTCTCTTCTAACACAGTCCTTGAGGATTGACACTGGTATTGACCCCAGTAATAGAGTAATTCTATGCGTTCGCAGTCTTGACCATCCGCCATTCGCCAGCCAGAATAAATATCAAAGCACATTGGATAGGATCCGTCTGTCACAATGGCTATTCTCCCAACACTTTACCATCCTGTCACCACTCACTCTGATAAATGAAACCTTAATAGTTGGTTGAATTTACTATGATACATGGTTTATGGCCGACCTACCAGGCCACGTCGATAGCCGTTCTCGGCAGACCTGTTTGTTTTGGTGAGGTGTTTGTGCAGTAGTTTTTCGTCGATTATGAGTGAATGATTTCTGTTTTTTTCTGTTTTCATATCCACACAGAGGTCTCTGTGTTAATCTGCTCTGCGGGGAAGGGCAACAGTCTGTTATGCGGCGTGGTGTCTTCTCTGATAAGCTGTTCATTTCGATACTTTTTGGGTCATTAGACCTTCAGACAACCGGAGTTTAGTCAGAATCGCCGTGAGAGACGAAAATTTGGAATTTAGCATTAGCAAACTAACCAAAAGTCACGTTAGTGTCTGCCGTGCAATATTGTTTATCACTATTATTAATTTTTACTCGGTTACCGTTCCGGGGCTTCAGTGATCGATGTATTTCATTCTTTCTCGAAGCAAAGTTGGGAGCCTCTGTAATCTATCTCTTTCACTGATTCCATCCGATGGCTTGTACCAGTTTAGAAAAGTACGTTGGATTTAGCGGTTGAAGTTTCGCTAGTGACTCAAGGTCCAGAGCCATACCGGTGAGCAAAGCAAACATTTGTGGAAAGTAGCTCTTTCTTGCGGAAATTTTACCCACCCCACTATATTCATCAGCCCCATGCGAATCTGGTTTACTAGGTCGTCATTGCCCTTAAGTTGTCCTACCAGCCTAAAGTAAAGCTGACGTATATTTTCAGATCAGGATTCTAATATTTACGTTCTTCCTTCACCGTAACCGTTAAAATTTCGCCCTCTTACACTGTGCCATTGTTAAAGGCTCTCCTTGATGGTGGACAAGTCAGAATATGCTCCATTGTATGCCATGCCATGTGTGGCTGAGTCTAGTATACCGTTACGCGGAATTCGTCGAACGCCGAATCGGTTCCTCTTGGAAGGCCCTGAGAGGACAAGTGACTTTCCAGCTAACCCCTACACTAACTGGGACAACTGGTCCCAGGGCGTGCGCGGCTTGTACGAGCTCCCTCCAACTCAACTCAGCAGATGGTCTTTAAGGAATGAGATTCCACTTTGGGCTCGACTGCCGCGTGTGCGACAGATTACGGATGAAAACACCGGGTAATAAATTGTGTTTGTTTTGAAGACGGTCATTGCGATTCTCATTTTCACTATTTCTACCGATAATTTTACTACTTACGCGTAGTTTTTCACAAAGTGGGCAGTAAATAAGTAGTTTCGCTTCTCACTGCGGACATTTCTCGAACAAGGAATCTAGCAAACGTAACCTGGAAATCGAACTAGTTGTGGGAATAGTTGGAGAACATATTTGGAATTTGGTGCCAACTGTTGTGAACTTTCCTGATCGGAAATTTCTATCCAATTTTTCCCTAAATTATTCCTGACATGCTGTGGGTATAGGGGTCACCATTGATTTGGTAACCGTAGCGACGACATTTACTCATAATGGGTAACGCCCTCATCTGCGGCACGTCTCACTGACGCTCGGTTGCTGTTGAATGAAGAGGATATTGACAAATTACTGAGCTGGACGTCTCTCATAGACCTGGATCGTTTTCAATAATTCAGTTAGGTTGATAGAAAGTCGAATAGACTTGGTTTTAAATCACCGTTTTTCTGTACCGTTTCGTTTCTCAAAACGGTGGATTTTCTTCCTGTGCTCCTTTTTTCAGGTCGAAAAGATTTATGCATATACGGACTAGATTCTCCAGCTCTTATATCTTTGCGACGCTTCTCCTTAAATAGTCACCTTGAAGTAAAAATTGTTTACCTCGACATTAAACACACCAAGAAATCTAAGGTTTTTTCGTGATGTTTCGGTCTTTATCTCCTTAAGCTTCCATCCTGTCCCGGTTCCACCAGTCACACATACCCTGTCAAGGTTCTCTCACTACACACCGATTCTTCATGCGCGTATTCAGTCCGAGTTTTGTCTGTTCGGTTTTCATACTGATGCTATGCTTCTCTCTTGTGAGGAACTGTCCCGCTCACTCTCACGAGTCAGGATGTTGGTTATTACGCAATACACCGTCTCAGAAAACTCACCAAAACCTTTTGCTGCGGTTACCTGAACTTCACTGGCGGTTCCCGTTTAATCTGTTTGACCCAGTCCACAACTCATTAACGCTCATTTATTCTTACGCGCTGCGGATTACATTGCGACAGGACAACTGTTCGCGGGCATCAAGCAGCAGTTCTAAGCTCATTCAAGACGAAGGACTGTCAAAGTCGATCTAAATACTACCGCGACTCATCTCACAGTGCGTAGAAAAAATTATACAATTACTTTCCTATGACGTGTTCTGCAACACGGAGCAAAAACAATAAATACGGTCTATAATTGACGGGGTAGCAATCTGCTTGGCCAACTTGACTGTGGGTTCACATATTCAGGCTATCCTAGCCAATGTCTAGGATCATGCGTGCATACACATGTTACGTGATGCGTCGTGTAGCGTCCAGCCGAGTTCGTAGGCTTGTTGACCACAAACAATCTTGACCAGGATTGTGCGGGAAAATGATGTTACGAAATGTTGCATAGTAAAATACGGGCGAAGGAATAAAAAACCGCATTTGAATATAGGTAAGTTCGGGCCGAAAAAGCAAGATAAGTCAATCAATTGGAGGGGCTATTCCTATCGTGACAAAACGTACGGTGTCGTCGTGAAATTCTCAGAAAGCACTATATGTCATTTAGAGTAATTTCTTGCAAACAGTTGTAGCTCTTTGTCATTCGCTCCTACTCAAATTTCCCGTCTGTTGCTTACGAAACAACTACGCCGCCCTAGTTTTTTCTTCAGGTTCATATTTCGTAGTGGTGCATGCGTGTTGACCACATGGTCTTACATGACCCAAGGTTGTTTGATTCTCTTGTCTTGAATGCGTTTATGAAGTCCTATCTATCGTTAGCCGTTAACAGTCGACTTAGCAACCTGCGAGTACTCGCAGATGTACGTTTTCAGTAATTGGAGCACGTGTTTCGGATTTTTCACCGTTCAGTTTGTTTTTAGCCACATGATTGTTCGATCCGTTACAGATGTGTATAGGGCTGCTGTTATCACATGTGACGCTCAAGGTTGTCTGTTGTCGTGTACAAGGTAACCGTTGGTCCACAATGGAGGAAGATATTGAGAACTGTTGCTAATAGTACCTTGTACACTTTATTTGACGAATTAATTTGATTTGCTTGTGTTTTCCTGTGTTACACTGAGGGCTGAATTCTCGTTAGTGTCTCATACATACACTTCGTAAGATATCCAAACAAATAAACCCTTTATCTTTCCTGAGTTGATGACATTCTGCCCCGTGCGCACATTCTTCCGTTCATTTACCACAGCTTTTTTTCATTAGTGCTTTCAGTAGCTGTCATATCTTTCCTATGGATAATCCTACCAAATACGTTGGCCTTATAATCCATATTCATGATATGTTGCTAAGGCTAACATATATTTTGTTAACCTAGTTCACAGTGTATTTGAACGCTCTCTCATCTCGTTGTAACTGGACTTAATCCCCTCACATTAAATTCATCAGGAAAGCCATGCTCACGGATTAATACAACATAAGTGTCAGTCATTACCATCCAATGAAGATATATTCTCTCGGTTGCGGGTCCTCACCACATTCGAAGCAGGTATCTTTGTGATCAACTGATCTGTTCATGTAAATGATGTGACCATACTCTACAGAGACACTATTTGGGATGTCGCGTCCTACTGAAAGTGCTTATTCTCTTGAGGCTGTTTTTCCCCTCTACAATCTAGTGGTAATTTAGTCTTCTTATTGTCACAATGGAGTCGCACACATTTTCCGATTTGATCGCTATATGGACTTATCCCAATGGACCATTACGCGGGATAGATAGTAACAAGCTCGATTTTATGTGATCCTCTGTGTTCACTTTAACCACTATAAACCGGAGATGACGATGAACACACCTAAAGAAACACAGTTTTCTAATATTTAGAAAAATGATGAGGCATGCAAAATTTTGTTCCCCCCCCCTCCGTCATCGGCCAGAATATAAGAACTTCCCCCCCCCCTCCGTCATCGGCCAGAATATAAGAACTAGTCGGTTTCACGGCGTTGAGCAGAATCAATGAATGTGTCAGTTGATCAAGGTCGATCTCAGCCTCGCGAAGATGAGGGCGTTTTTGTGTACACTAGATTAATCGGTATCAATTGATTATCAGAGGTGTATTAATTTTAAGTCGGATTCGTTGTGTATAAATTTTGAGCAATGGTGCATTTCTAATCCCGGATTTTACAAGCCCCACGATGTTGGGGCAGGATCCAGAGATTATGAAAGCGATATGTTTTCATCTTAAAACCAATCTCATGGACTTTCTTTGTTAATCTCTGTTCACATAATCAGATGGAACATCATCATTCCTCCGCCGGTTATTGTTGATGGTCCCGCAGGAAAACGTGATCGAGTGAAGCTTGTGACCATCTCAGATAATCCGGTTCAGGAGATTGACTCAACACCAGGTTTCTTGAAACGCTCTACTCTACTTCCACTGGGTTCTATCTTGTTGGTGTGCTTTTTGATATGGATTTTCAAGCCGGTTAGTTTTTCTCTTCGTTGGACTGACAAAGTTCGCTTGAGTTTCATTCGGTTGGTTTTTGTTTTTGTGTAATCCGTTCATTATCTTGTCTTTAACCATATTGATTCTTTTTATACACCAGCTTTAGCTAGAATTAATAAGCAGGCAATCAATTCATGCCACTTTGGAGTCTGCAGAACACAATGACACTTGTATTCTAGACTGTCGTACTCTAGCTGTGGTAGTGCAGTAAAGCGGTCTTTTGCGACAGTTGATTCGTCACAGCAATGAGTTTAGCGTGGCACCAATCAGTCTCATGTCGTGATCGTGAATGTTCATCACATTGAATTTTAACTGACTTCTTCACTAAATTGATCCAGAGAGGAACAAGCCAAATACACTCATTTGCAAGCAAATTTGATTTTTCGATAGACTCAGTTGGAACCCAGCTGAATCTCTCGTTTATGATGTTTAGTAATAGTGTATTACGTCCATACATTAGAACACTTCTGAAGGACTTGGGGCTTGTGTGAATACACTCTGATTAAGGTGTAAAGCCGGATTCCCATATTTCGTCTGCTGCTACCCCCCGCTTGGATGCGGACAGTATGCCTTTTTGGGAGTAACGTACCCAAGTTAAGACAAATTCGATAATTCTCCTGAAAAATCCTCTATAATCTGGGTCTTATTGTAGGAGCATTTCGATGAGAAAGCCATGCCTCCAGCCCCTTCCTTCCCAGTTGACTGTACTAAACATAATTCTTTAAAGCATCAAGGTATCCAGACAAAACAGGCTTGTGAAGCGGTCAAACTAAATTATGTAGGTTTCTGCGGAGTCGCCCAAGTTAACAAAATCGGGCTGTACGCCTGACATTTCGGCAGAAAGTGATCATTTCTCTATGTGATATGTGAATTTTTTCATCGTGTATACTTAGTCGCCTTAGCGATACTCCCGGTATGAAACCCTTTCGAGAATGTTTCACACTGCCTAGTCTCACGTTAAACGAAGAGCTTACGTTGGACTTTGTGCAAGCACCAACTGCCTTTGGCCGCAGACATCCGGGGGTCCAAAATGTTTAAGTTCTTCAATTTCGGTGCACTGTTGTACTAGCACTTCCCTCGGGTAATGGTATGAAAGTTATCATGACCAATAAGCTGTTAGTATGATACTAACTTCTGGTCGACCTATGCTTCAAGATATTGGCACAAACATTGAGTGACAACAAGATCTTAAACGACCAGAATGAACAATGAATTGCGAAATAAATACTAGAATGTCCTTGAGTTGGATCAACTTGTTCTGTTCCCCATTACTGTCACCAAATTCCTTGTTCATTATCCAGAGCGCATTCATACGCCGCAACCTCTTCCCCCATGGCTACATCGGAGTGACTCATCGACAAAACTCTTATATGCTGAGTCAGAAGCTGCCTGATTAGCTGTTTTGAGTACGAAAAAGAAATCGTTTCACCTCATGAAGTACTTGAGCACTAGCCATTTACTTACCGTGTTGTCGTGAGGGCTGATAGTCCTGATAGCAATGTGATCAGCGAATACTTTGGAGTTTAGAAAAAACAGCTATGGAAGCAAGCAGAGGCATTTTTATTCCATGTTTTTCAACCGTCACCAATGCATAATCGATGGTCACATCCACTCCGGTCGCTGCTTGGTCCATCACTTTCGCGGTTACAGCTCATAGATACCGATGATATTCCGTCCCATTACTACTTTTCCTAAATGTTGTCCAGTATATTTACAGATTATAGGATGTCGGGATACTATCCGGCAATCAAGGGTGAATGACCTTTAATAGCCCAGACGGCGACTGCCTGCCCCACCTTGTCTTCTGTCGGCTGGACACGATAATTGTTACCACTCGCTCGGTAATAACTCTCTGATTGATTGATGTTGAAAGCAGCTTCAGTTCATACTGTTGTCTTTTTGCTGTAAACATTTGCAGTGTTCGTCTCTTCTAACCACACACAGTCCATTGTCCTGGCGCGATCTTTCTCACTGTCAATCCCGGAACGAGATCAACGGGATCGACTGCTCCCAAAATTAAACAAAACTTCTGAATTATCTTCGTGACTCAATTTCACAAAGTACTCAGCAAATCCTGTGTTTAGGGCATTCGCAATGCTTAGACACATAGCCGTTATGGTGATCGGTCCAGAAATCCATTAGATTAGGCAGGACTAGTTGGTTTATACGAATCCTGGCATTATTTGCGAATGATTTGGAGTGGAAGGAGTGACAACGTTCAGGGAAATAGTCACTCATACGCTCATTCACCATAGTCAGTCTGCCAATTTGATTTTGGCTAGCTCTGTCGTAGCCGTTTCCACTGGTCGACGTTTCTAATCCGATCATAATCTACAGTGGTCTTCTCTTGTAAGGTGACTGCGTAGAATATTGATTTCCCAATCTCTAGCTTTTTCCTTCTTTAGGCGGGCCGATATAGCATCGTTCGCACGAAGTTGAGTAGTGTTTCCCTAGTGTTTTTCGAGCCTTGGTTGTTCTCTGAACATGAGATATGAGCAACGGATGCTCAGTATGTGAGGTGGTTTTTTCAAAATAGGCGGCGAAAACAGCAGTTTTCGTTTTTTGCTCGGTCACGTGCTAACTTTTGAAATGACTGAACAATGAGACCAAGACACAGCCGTACCAAACATGTGCGAGTCACTTATTAATTGTTTACTTGATTGAGTTACTCTCTTCTGTCACGTCTTACACGAACATAAATAACCATGATTCGTTAATTAAGGAATGCGGGAATTCCTAACTGTTCGATCAGTATTTTTGTAATGCTCCTATCTGCTTCCAACGCTTCAGCTATTTCTTTTTCCGACTTTGAGTACTCCACCCCTTGGAATTATCCGCCTTTAAAATTCATTTGTACTCGCTTCTTATCTCCCACTGCTAACGAACTTCCCAAACGTGATTTTGATTCTTCCAAACATATTGTCATCATGCATGACCAGTTATGCATCGATGAAGGTTAACAGAGCTCTATGACGCATAAACCTACTACTAGTGTGGGGTGCGTTCATCTTCTGGCTAGTAGCATTTCGCCTGAAAAAACTCTTTCTGGTTCTTTCATAAAAGTTCGTTTAAGTGGGGTTTGCTTGCTGGTTGGAAGCATACATCATAAGACTACACTTGTGAAGATTTTTACAAATCCCTTAGTGTGAGAGAACTTTCGTTCTCATGACTGTGCATCCGTACAAGAGCAGTTTGTGATTCGTTTCCGACCATTGATCTTCCCGTGACTAGGAAGTAGCCTTAGATCTGACCCTAAAATACGAACCAAATTTCATTAAGGACACATAGCGACCGATTGGTACAATCATATAGTTTAGTATTTACCATGTGATATGGTTCCGCGTGAATTCGCATTGTGTATACTACTGATTACTTCATTCGCCATTTCCTCTAGTCCCTGCGGAGGAAGCTTACGGCTGATCCCCACTTTTTGCCACCTACTTTTGACCTGCCCTCGTGTGATGGCTGGGCGGGATGTACTGCTGATGAGGCCGGCCAACCAGAAGATATTCGATTCAATGTGCAACACGTGCTGGGGCATGGTGCCAATGGGACCATGGTATTCGCGTAAGTGTTCACTGTTTTAGGGGATCATGAACCTCCTCACTTTTAGTCAATGAACTCGCTTTGAGAGATTCCGAGGTTATGTATCCACTCGTTGTTACTGGGCCAGCTGCCAGCACTATGTTTCCTCTAGCAAATGCAACTGTTATCTGTGATTGCGGTGCAATCACATTTAATGTAATAAATCAGCATGGAAAGTTACATAGTGGTCTTCTCTGAAAACGAGTTGCCTTCATTTACCGCAGTTCTCCATACGTATCTGTGTGCGTTGTTTTTTGTGCCACTTTCTCCAACTACCTTTATTGTCAGCCTATTAGTCTTTATTTCAGCACCTGGGGATGTCGTTAGTCGCATGCTGGTCTTCAGTCAAGTAACCACCTTTGGTTAGAAGCTATTGGTTGTTAGTAGATTTTACCAAAACGAGTCCGTATCATCTAAGGAAATCGTGAAGCATTGACCTACGGTAGCCTTTACAACTCTTCACCTCATTAGTAAACACCCATGGGACCAACGAAACTAGTTCGTCGTATACGTAGTTCTCTTTGCTAAGCACAACAGTTCGTGAAATTAGGTCTGGAGGATTTTTTCCTGCGAGGAGAAATTGCTTCACATCCGAACAACACACTATCTCACCTTCCACGGAGGTGCTTTTAACTTTATTGTGTTTATCTGGCGTGAGACGATTCGTCAGTTCCTTGAAAGTAATGTCTCCTTGGCACTTCCAATCTATCTTACCCCCGGCGCCGTCTAGTCTATGTTAGCGCGTGCGCCCCCAGTTGCTACACCGTCGCGTATTATTTGCAAGGCACGAAGGCCTAGCAAGGTGTTGGGCACACAAACCAATCTCTTCCCAGCTCGCTTGGTTTGTCTTTCTCCACCCTTCATTTAGCCTCGGTCACGATAAACGGCACAATTATATTTTTCTTCTTGTTGTGCTCTTTTGCTATTATTTGTTAGTTGACCAACCGACCAATGTAGGGGAGTGAGATCGTGCAACTCTTAGGGTTATATCCACTGGGACATCACAGGTTCACATCGGGACCTGTGACCGAGCCCTGTGTTTCTTTCGGGTATGAGGTTCACACCCTCGCCATTCTTCCTCAAGCCTTTATATAGCATTGTTTTCATTTACGACAACCCCACCCAGTAACAATGCTCACGATAACCACTGAGTAATCCCGTTTATGTAGATTGCATTTGGGTGTTCCGTTCCTTAATAAGTTAACAAATCCTGTACGTGTCAGAGATACGTTCGACCTCACTTGAGTTACTATTTAGTTCTTCACTCATGAGTCTGCTTTTTTAATCCAATCTGCGTCCTCGGCAGAATCCGTATTTATGGTAGGCTGACCGGAGCCACAGGCGTTCTGCAGTAATCGTAACCAAGAGCAACACCACGGAAAATGTGGATTTTTGACTTTTCGATGGGCTGTTCTGTCTTAGGGACCGACGGGTGACACCTTCGCGGCCCCTTCAGGGGGGGGGTGGATTATTTTCGAAGGGCCTCTCGAATGGATTACTGGATATTTCATATGTTAATTAGTATTTATATGCCATTTTACCTCAATTTATATGGTTGATCTTATCTTCCACTTACACAGTTTCCGCGTAACGATTCACATTTCCATTAGGATCGATTATATTCATACAGTGTCCCTTGTCTTGGGGGACCGCCTGAGGAGTCAACTGAAAATATTCTTTTCTGTGGGTCAGTTTTGCTTGACAAAGTGCCAGCTAAAATCTAATTCAAAATCTGGAAAAATATCTTGTGAAAATAAGTCGTCATGCGATTTCGTGTTCCATTCGAACAACGTGTCTGAACGGTAGTCATGACACAAGACCTGTACGTTCTCAACTTTTCACTTCACAAAGCCGCATCGAAATGCTCAGAACACTTTGTTTTCAATGACTGTTCACTCCACTCTAGCTTTCCAGCTGAAACTATGTTTTATTGAAAATGGATTTTAAAAAATCAAATGGCGAATAATAAGTTTCGAAGCGT